GCTAGTAAGTTCGGGCCTGCCACAAAATATGTGGGGCGAAGCAGTCTTATCAAACAATTACCTTTTAAATAAGGTTCCCCGGAAAAAAATATGATAAAACTCCGTACGAGTTGTGGAAAGGTAGAGGCCTTCCTATCAATATTTAAAAGTGTGGGGATGTCTTGCAAAAGTGCTTGTACCAACACCTAAGAAAATTAAAATAGGTCCAAAAACGGTGGATTGTATTTTTATTGGGTATGCACAAAACAGTAGTGCTTATCAGTTTTTAGTGTACGATTCGAATAATCCGGATGTACATAAAAACACAATAATTGAATCAAGATTGCATCATTCTTTGAAGATGTATTTCCATGCAAGTCCAACGAAGGACCAAGCACGTCAAAACGAGCATTTGACGTAGCTATGGAAAATACTAGCGAGGGGTCCGGAGAAGAACCCGAACCCAGACGTAACAAACGTGCTAGAGTTGAAAAATCTTTCGGACTGCATTTTCTCACCTACTTGGTAGAATTTGACTCGGACATTCTAACATGTATGATAGAAAATGAACCGGATTTTCTAACATGTTTGGTAGAAAATGAGCCACGGACTTATACGGAAGTCGTGACGTCTACCGAAGGTCCTATGTAAAAAGAAGCCATCAAAGGCGATGTGGATTCTATCCTACAAAATTACACGTGGGAATTGAATGACCTTCCTCCGGGAAATTAACCTTTGGGATCCAAGTGGAGTTTTAAACGAAAAATGAAACCTGAAGGTTCCATCGATAAGTACAAGGCAAGACTTGTAATCAAAGGATACAACCAACGTGAGGGCCATGATTACTTTGACACGTATTCTCCTGTGACGAGAATAAATTCCATTAGGATGATACTAGCAATTGCCGCATTGCGGAAATTGGAAGTTCATCAAATGGATGTAAAACCGCTTTTCTAAATGGCGATATAGACAAAGAAATCTATATGGAACAGCCCGAGGGTTTTTGTGTTCCTGGCCAAGAAAAGAAAGTGTGTAAATTAATTAAATCATTGTATGGATTGAAACAAGACCCTAAACAGTGGCATGAAAAGTTCGATCATGCAATGTTAATTAATGGGTTTAAAATAAACGAAAGTGAGAAGTGCGTCTATGTGAAGAGCACGGTAGACGGCTATGTCATTTTATGTATATACGTGTGATGGATAGTCTACCCGGGGGTATGTATCCGAAGGGTTATTGCGGGGAATAACTTAGAGAGAAGTCAGAGCGAGTAAGTAAATGTAGAGAGAGAGTGTATTCAGTATGAATGCCGTTTTCAGCGTGGTTACAAATGGGGAAATGGGGTGCTATTTATAGTAGCAATAAATGCCGGACAGGGACACGTGTCAAGCGCTCATTGGCCGAGGGGTCACCTCAACTGGTTGGCGCTGGCAGCCGCATGTGGCCGCATTTAATGCGGCTGTTGGATGGGACGTCTGTACAGGGTACGGTGATCTTTACGCATGTGAGGCGGATATCTTGTCGAGTGAGATGCCTTCGGCTATAGAGCAGTAGCCGAGGGCTCCTCCAACCGATGGCACCCTGGTGCCGAGGGCTCACAGTGCCGAGGGCTACTGTTTTCGCCGTTTTCTCCGAGTTTCTTAATTTGCTTGAGAAACCCGTTCTGTGAGAGTTTAGAGCCTTCGGCCAGGGGGCCGAAGGCACCCCTGGGGCGTAGTGCGGGCTGCTTGGTACTCTGGGCGCTGTGATTTGGGCCTGTTGGGCCTTCTGGGCCTGTTGGGCCTTCGCTGGAGTAGTAGGAGTCTGTGGGCCGGGGGTTCCCGGGCCATATACTGAGGAGTTGTTGCTTTTATGTCCCTGCCGAAGGCAGTCCCTCAGTTACCCACATGTCGGGACTTGAGGGCTTGCTTTGTCGTTTGTTGGAATTTCACTGATTTTGTAATTTAACGATTTTCTCGAGGGGGTGCTCCAGTCCCCCACTCCTTGAGGCACTTGTAACGTGGTGAAAAGGAGTAGAGTAGTCGCGTTGCTGTTGTGGGCCGAAGGTTGACGCTTTTCGTTTCATTTTGGGGGGATGCCTCGTTAAAAACCTCACTAGGAAAAACCCTGTGGGAAAAAATCCCAATGAGGGAAAAAGAGTGCACCGAATTCCCCCAATGATGAATCGAAAATGTCAGACATTGGTAAAAAGTTGAGAATAACGGTAATGCCGAAGGCTCTCCGGTTGCTGAGGGCTCATGTATTGATTAGCCAAGGGCTTGCTGTTGATGTCCTGGGGTGCCGAAGGGTAGCCCTTCAATTTGGGGATCGAGGGCATGATGGATGAGGGCAGTAATTGAATTGTCGCCGGGGGGTCCACTGTTTGTTGATTAGTTGGTGATGAAGATACCTGAGGGCTCCCATTACATGTGTGCCATGGGTTATCCGTCAATGAGGCAACTCCCTGGGGGCTACCCGGTTTTGCAGTGCTGGGGGGAATCCCCGAGGGGTGCCCTGATATGAAGCCCTGGGTTTCTGAAGGAGTGATCCCGAAGGCGTCTGTTATATGCTGTGTGGGGCACAACCCGGGGGCGCTTCTGGGTAAGTGTACCCGGAGGCTATCCTTGATGAAGTGGAGTGAAGTAGAAACCCGAGGCTTCCAGAATATAGCCGTTGGAAATATAGCCGTTGGAATATGTAACGTCAGGATATAGCCGTTGGGGGGGTACACGTGGCGCGTGACGGTTGGCTGCCCGTGGGCGGCGTCACCGGTTGGGTGAAAACACGGTGCTTAATGATGACGGTCCGTCCGGAGGCCCGGTTTTCGGGCCCAAGCCCGGATTCCAGCGCCTATAAATACCCCAAGGCCAGGCATTCCTCCGTGTGCGAAAAACTTGTTAGCGAAGCTCTGCCAATTTTTCTAGAGAGAGAAACAGCAGCCCCCGGTTGAATCCTCTGTACTTAAGGTCAGTTCTCCAGTTACCCTTCACCTCTTAGCTACCTGTACTGTGCCCTTAGGCTAGGAGATAGAACATTTAGAAAACACTAGTTGTACGAGTGTAATACCCGAGATTAATTTAAGAGGATTAATAGTACTACTCATACCAACAGAGGTGCATCTCCTTTTAAGGGAGCTCATCACCCAAGAACTCCTAAGTTAAGCGTGCTTGCACGGGAGTAGTCTTGGGATGGGTGACCCCCTGGGAAGTTTCTCAGGGTGCGCATGAGTGAGGACAAAGTGCGCGGTAAAGGCTCGTGGTGGTTTGTGGGGACAGTACTAGAGGTCTGAAGTAACTACCTCAGGTCCGTGTGGGGCCCGGGGTGTTACAGGTGGTATCAGAGCAACCCTGCGACAGTGTGCTGACCCGTTAGATATCGGGCGGGCACTTAGCGGGGCAAGATTCTGGGGTTTTATTGAGATTGGTTTAAGGGCGCAACGAGGACGTTGCGATCCTAAGTGGGGGTGATTGTAATACCCGAGATTAATTTAAGAGGATTAATAGTACTACTCATACCAACAGAGGTGCATCTCCCTTTAAGGGAGCTCATCACCCAAGAACTCCAAAGTTAAGCGTGCTTGCACGGGAGTAGTCTTGGGATGGGTGACCCCCTGGGAAGTTTCTCAGGGTGCGCATGAGTGAGGACAAAGTGCGCGGTAAAGGCTCGTGGTGGTTTGTGGGGACAGTACTAGAGGTCTGAAGTAACTACCTCGGGTCCGTGTGGGGCCCGGGGTGTTACAACGAGCCTTCGAACTAGAGTCAGAATGTTGTCCCAGAGTGATTCTCAAGATATCTCGGGGGCGCCCTCGATGGAGGATGAAGTCCTCTCGGACGTGGAGTCCTCAGGTGCAGAGTCTTCGGTGGGACAGGATGTCGTCGTTGCCCTGGAGTTGCAGAAAGCCCTCGTAGCTGAGGCGGAAGCCGAGGGCTTCGAGCAAGAATGTGAGGACGAAGAGTTGGCCCTCGCCTGGCAAGCAGCTCAAGAGGAGGCTCAAAGAGAAAGCGAGAGGGTCACCGTTGCTGTGCTCCCCCCTCGGGGTGCCGGGGAGGCCAGCACCTCCCGGCCGCTGAATGCGGTCCCCATCCGGGTGGCCCCCGGAAAGAAGAAGGCCAAGGCCGCTGCTACCAAGAAGAAGGGCAGCGTAGCAGACCAAGGGAAACCCCTCGATATGCCCGAGGGGTACTCCTACCTCAACACCGCCGCATTGGAGATCAAGTCGAAGGTAGATGCGGCGGACATCTATGTCACCCAACTTCACGTGGGCCCCTCGGCCATCGTGGTGACACCGGGTCCGGATGACGTCCTCTCCCGGGATCCCGAGGGCTGCATTGCGGTGCACGTCCTCTCAGTATCCATGGGGCTCCGCTTCTCCCTGCACCCCTTCCTCCGGGAGTATCTTCGGTTCGTGGGTCTGGTTCCCTGCCAGCTGACCCCGAACAGCCATTCTTATATCACCGGCTTCCTTCAGCTCTGCAAGTCCCGGGGGGTGACGCCTAGCCTGGACCTCTTCTTCCAGAGCTTCAACCTGTGCCGGGGGGGGGGGGGGGGGGCACGCGAATGCCGAGGGATTCGCCAATTTGCAGCAGGTGTCTATGTTCAAACTCTTCACTGAGACGCCCTCCTCGAACAAGGGGTGGAAGGACCGGTGGTGCTATGTGAAGCTAGCCAAGAGCCCCTTCCCGAGGGAGCTACGTGACCGCTTCAGGAGGCACGAGAAGAGGAGGAGCGCCGCCCTCGAGAAAGATGGCAGGATTCTGTCCATGATCCCGGAGGGCCGGGACAAAAATATTACCATCAAGGAGTGCATCAAGGAAGCAGATCTCTACACCCTCGGATTCCGGCGGTACCGGTTCCTGGGGGAAACAGACGAGAAGTTCCCAGTGTTTGAGGGAGCCTCCGGAGGTAGTGGCTGAGGGCATTCTCACCCTCATATCTTAGCAAATTATTTACTTGCGTCGTTTATCTTTTTATGCCACTTATTAGTGACCCCTCGACCCTAACCCCTCGTTTTTTTTGCAGGTGTTCCAGTAAGCATGATGAACGTCAAAGGCCTCGCCCGACTCAAGAACAAACCGGCCAAAGATCCGAAGGGGCCGGACGCTGGCGGCCAAAAGCCCGTCGGTGCGCCTCCCAAGAAGCCCGAGGGCGATGCTGCTGCGGCAAAGAGGAAGCCGTCGGCAAAGGAGCCCCCCCAGGCCCCCAAAAAGTTGAAGAAGGGGGACTCCGCGAAGGATGACCCCCCGGTGGTGATTGTAGATGACCCTCCGGAGATGCCGATGGCGCAGGTGCCGAGGGGTGCCCGGGAGCCATCTGTCGAGGTCCTCACGCTCTCCCTTCCGGCTGGCACGGCCGTGTTGAATGGCACGGCTGACCCGAGGGCGCTCCTGAGAGGTATAACCCTCGATATCGACAGGGCAGCTCTCGGGGCCGATGATGATCAAGCCCTCGAAGACAGGATCCTCCGGTCTTCCCTCACGGTGAGTTCACTATAGTTTGTCTTTCTCTTTCCCACTTTGAACTAAGAAATCACGTTCGGCCCTGACAACTCGTTTATCTTTGCAGACTTGCGTTGCCCTCGGAGAGCAGTTCCGACGGCTGGAGGAATGGCGCCTCCACAAAGCTGGGCAAGACGCCAAGATGAAGGAGCTGATCCTCAGGGACTCCCAGGCCACGAAGCTGATGGCCCAGCTTGAAGAGGACCTCCAGCTTGCGAGGGCGGAGGCCGGGAGGCTCAGGGAGGAGAAGGCGGAAGCTGAGGCGGCCGCTGCGGAGGCCGCAAGGAGAGCAGCCGAGGAGGCTGAGGCCATCAAGGCGAAGGCTGTCGCCACAGCCCGGGAGGAGGCCATCTCCGGGTTCCTGGAAGGGGGGTGGAAGACCGAGGGGCACAAGGCATGGCTGTCCTCGGTTGTGGAGGCCTCGGTTGATGAGTGGTCCGAGGGCCCGGGCGAGGAGTGGATGGCCCGAAAGGGTAAGCAGTATTATGATGGGGGTGAGTTCTTCACTCAAGCCCTCATCTACCGGAGGATGGCCCGCCATCTGAAGATTGAGCCGAAGGACTTTGACCCGGCGGCGTACGGGCTCCCCCTGCAGCCAGACATCCGTGTTCCTCTCCCCCCTGATGTCGAGAGGCCAGACCTGGAGGATTCTGAGCTGCGGAGGGAAGCCGAGGGCGACGATCCTGAGGCCGATGTAGAAGTCACCTCGAAGCCATCGGGGGAGGCAGCCCCCGGGAATGACATTATTTGATATGTACTTTGTAATTTGAACACTTTTGTAACAGCCACATTAGCATGTTTTCGGCCTCGGCCAACATTGTAATAACTACATTTACTCCTTGCTGTGATGAATGAATGATTGCCTTCGGGCTTTGTATCTATGGCCTCTTTTTTTCTAATTCCTTCCCTCTTGAATGTATGCCTTCGCTATTTTTGAATGTATGCCTTCGCTCCTTTGAATGTATGTTTTAGGACTTAGAGTATTTTCTGATTGTAGCTTGCCCTTGGAAGCCTTCGGTGGTTGGGCACCCTCTGCTGGACATACAACCGAGGGTTCAGCAATAATTAGGACTTAGAAGATTTTTCTAAGTGTAGCACACCTTAGGGCCTTCGGGTGTTTGCAGTAACCCAATTCCTAGGACTTAGAAAAATTTCTAAGTGTAGGTTTTCCCTTGGGGGCCTTTGGGAGATGGCATCCATTCATGATGTGTGAATATTGGACCGAGGGCCAAATGTACAGGACTTAGAAAATTTTTTGCAAGTGTAGTATGTCACGTAGCCTTCGGCTACTGTGGAGCCCCAACTGAAATATTGAATAGGCCGGGGGCCAATTCTTTAGGACTTAGAAAATTTTCTTGAGTGTTGATTCCTTGTGTACTGTAGCCCTCGATTGATAGGTAGCCTTCGGCAATTGGGTCTATTGAGATGAGGGTGAAATATGTAGGACTTAGAAAATCTTCTAAGTGTAGAGTTTCCCTTGGGAGCCTTCGGGAGATGGAATCCCTCCATGATGTATGAGTAGTTGACCGGGGGGGAAAATATGCAGGATTTAGAAAATATTCTAAGTGTAGATTTTCCCTTGGGAGCCTTCGGGTGATAGGTGCCCTCTGACTCCACATCACTTTGCGAGATGCCCGGGGGCTGCTCATTTAGGACAGAATATTCTTTTTAAGTGTTGTTGTATTGCATGGCCTTCGGCTACCATATTCCCTTGGCTGTAATATTGATTGGGTCGGGGGCCCAATCTTTAAGACTTAGATTTTTTTTTCAAGTGTTGCTTCCTTGTGTAGCCTTCGGGTGATAGGTGCCTTCTGACTCTACATTGCTTTGCGAGATGCCCGGGGGCTGCTCATTCAGGACTTAGAATTTTTCTAAGCATAAATTGATGTTAAATCTTGTTGTTGTGAAGAAAGGCAATGAGGAGTGTGTGCCCTCGGCATACACTTTAAAAGATGTAGAATTTGACCCTTGTAATGGGGAAAAGGCCCTCGGTACTAGTGCGTCACAGATGCCTTCGGTATATGTTTGAAGGTACCGTCTTAGTGTACTTTGGATAGTCCAGTCCCTTTGTATTGTTTGAAGCCTTCGGTGTTTGTGTGACCGGAGGTGACCAGGCAGTGGACTTAGCCGTTTCTTGATGCTATTTGTTCGAGAAGTATCCTTCGGGAAATAGGAGCCTTCAGTTACCGGAGGTGTTCCCGTGGGGAGCCCTCGGCTTGTTGTGATCTGTTGGAGTGTACTCTTTGATTTCTCGCTGAGTCTACTCCCCTTCACCCCTTTTATTTTTGGTTGGTGGTGAAGGGAAGGCATCAAGAAACTTGGTTTCTTGGTAAGGCTGGGCCTATTAGGAGACCATCAGAATACACCAATGGCTCTCCTCCCTCGTGTTAACCTTCCGAGTTCCGAGGGGATCGAGGGTCGTTTCCTGGGCACAAGATATGGTGGTCCGTAACCTGCCTCCCCTTGGGGGATGGCGCGGAAAGCGCCTCATTTTTGAAAGTCGTCCCCTCGGCGCCAGACATAGTCCGTGGCCTGCCACACCCTTGGGGTGGTGGCGCGGGGAGCGTTTTGGTTTGGAAGTCGAATCCTGGGCATTTCTCGTGCCTGTCACACCCTTGGGGTGATGACGCGGATAGCGTTCCGTTTTTGAAAGTCGAATCCTGGGCATTCCTCATGCCTGCCATACCCTGGGGGTAATGACGCGGAAAGCGTTTCAAGGAAGGGTTTTCATTTGCACACTAGTTGCAAATGGCCGGGGGCACTACGTGCCGCCGGCACCGATGGTGGCGCCTTCGGTATATGCGTCCTCGTGGGGTACGGCTTTTAGAAACAACACTTGGTGTTAGTTTCGATGTGTAGCCCCCGGTACTTGGTACCGAGGGGTCTTCTGTAGGAACACTTGGTGTTCTCTTTTGTTGTAGTTGATGTAGGCGTCTACCCTCGGTACTTGGTACCGAAGGGTCTTCAAATGAAACACTTGGTGTTTCCCAACAGTTGTTTGGAAGCTGTTAGGAGAGCATATCCCTGGCACTGGGTGTCGAGGGGTCTTCTTTGAAATACTTGGTGTTTTTTCTTCGTTTCGATGTTTGATGATGGAGGTGTACCCTCGGCACTGGGTGCCGAAGGGTCTTCTGTAGGAACACTTGGTGTTCTCATCTTCTCTTTTTTGATGTTGAAGGTGGGGATGTACCCTCGGTACTTGGTACCGAGGGGTCTTGACTGAAAACACGTGGTGTTTTCACTGGTGTTGTAGGTGTTGATGGTGTCCGCCCTCGGCACTTGGTGCCGGAGGGGGTTCTTCTCATGGTGAGGCCGGGGGCCTGTAATCAGTATGAGGGCTTGATGTCTTGAATGTATCTTCATTCTTCGAAATTGGAGGCCTTGGGCCATAGGATAGTACATTCACTAGTTATGAGGGCTTGGCCGCTCTTACATTATTGATAAAATTTAACTAAGTGGTGTACATTCCAGTGCCTAGGGACTTCTTTCCCGTTGGGGCGTTTGAGCTTGTAGGTCCCAGGTTTGATGATGGCTGCTATGATGTAGGGGCCTTCGAATTTTGGTGCCATTTTTCCTCCCTCGGTTGGCTGGCTGGCTTCCCTCCTCCGGAGGACATAGTCCCCCACTTGAAATTCTCGGGTGCGAACTTTGGCGTCGACGTAGCTTTTAACTTGCCTTCGGTAGTTTTCTGCCCGGATGAAGGCCTGCTCCCGGCGTTCTGAAATGAGGTGGAGGTCGAGGGCCATGTTGCTGTCGTTGACCTCGGGGTCATATTGGATCACCCTTCGGGTGGGAAGGGTGACTTCCGTAGGAGCTTTGGATTCAAAACCGTAGCAGAGGGAGAAGGGTGTTTCACCTGTTGCTTGCCGAGGGGTGGTGCGGTAGGCCCAAAGGATGTTGTGGAGTTCTTCCACCCAGCCACCGCCCTCGGCCTCCAACTTCTTTTTGAGGCCCTCGAGCAAGGTCCGGTTGGCGTTCTCTACTTGCCCGTTGCCTTTAGGGTAGGCAACGGAGGAGAAGGTGTGTTTGATGCCCCATGTCTCCAGAAGGGCACAGAAGGGGGCTGCCTCAAATTGTGTCCCATTGTCGGAGATGATCTGCTGGGGGACGCCAAACCTTGTGAGGATGTTCTTGAGGACGAAGTGACGGCACTTCGCCTCTGTGATGCTGGCGAGGGGTTCAGCCTCCACCCACTTGGTAAAGTAGTCGACGGCCACAATGATGTATCTTTTGTTGGAGGTACCCCTCGGCAGAGGGCCCACAAGGTCTATCCCCCATCGAGAAAAGGGGACAGAGGTGCTGATGGGGGCATAGTTGACCGCTGGCCTGCCGGGAGCTTTCTGGAAATGTTGACATGCGGTGCACCTCCGGGCAAGGTCAGCACAATCCCTGGCCATGGTTGGCCAGAAGTAGCCCTGGAGAATGAGCCTTCGGGACATGGAGAAGGGTCCCTGGTGAGCTGAGCAAGTGCCACTGTGCACTTCCTCCATTGCGACCTCGGCTTCATCCTGATGAAGGCACCGAAGTAGCGTGCCATTGTAAGATCGTTTGTAGAGCCTTCCATCTTCGATGGTGTAGCTAGGAGCCCTCAGCTTTGCCAGTTTAGCGCGGGCCTCATTCTCGGGTAGCTGCCCTGTGGAGATGAAGGTGGTGATATCTGAGATCCAATCCTCTTGACGTTGTTGTATGTTCATAACGGGGCTTGCATGGATGCTTGAGAGGCTGAGTTCCTCGATTTTGGCAATTTTGGAGATGTGCTCGGGGGAATCGGCCGAGAGCTTAGATAATATGTCGGCCTCGGAGTTCTGAGCCCTCGGTATTTGAGTGAGAGAGTGTGCCTCAAATACCTTAAGCAACTCCTTGGCCGCTTCCTTGTATTGTTTCATTCTTCCCTCTTTGGCCTCATACTCTTCGGAGATTTGGCCGACGACCAACTTGGAGTCACATTTGATGTGGATCTGCCGAGCCCTCATGTTGGCAGCCAGCCAAAGGCCACATAGGAGGGCCTCATATTCGGCCTCGTTGTTGGAGACTTTGAAGGAGAAGCGGATTGCATAGTAAGCTCTGAAGCCTTCGGGAGTAATGAGGACTACCCCTCCCCCGCATGCTTCGGTCGCGGAGGAGCCGTCGGTGTAGAGGGTCCACCAGTCGTCCGCGGTAGCCGAGGGCTCCCCGTCCGTGGCTGCCCTTGCAGTACATTCCGTCACAAAGTCCGCCAGGGCTTGGCCCTTAATGGCAGGCCTAGGACGGATGTCAATGTTGTACTGGCTCAAGAAGATAGCCCATTTCACCATGCGGGAGGAGCTGGTGGGGCTCCTCATGAGGGCGCCGAGGGGTTGATGTGTGAGGACCTGAACCGGGTGAGCCTGAAAGTAGTGGCCCAACTTCTTGACAGTCCAAACGATGGCTAACACCATTTTTTCCACAGGGG